TGGGTGTGTCGGAGACAGTGCGATTGGCACAGGACAGAGCAGAGTTTAGGGCTGTTGTACATAGAGTCGCTATGAGTTGCAAGCGACTCAATGGCACATAAAGACAACAACAGCAACACAGTCAACACCCATGTTAGAAGCAGTCAAGAAGTCAGAAAACATGTTGCCTTGGGCAGATCTGTAAGGGACCTTGTTAAAGTGCTAGAGCAGTTTTATCAGTTTAAAAAGTAAGAGTTACTTGAATCAAGTCATAGTTTTCCCTATTGCTTCATATGCATGGGAAAATTGAACAATGAATAAGGAAGCCCAAGAAAGAATTGATGCTTTTGAATTGTTTGGTTGGTGAAGAGTATTGAATATCCATGGACTGCCAAAAAAGCAAGTAAATCTGTCTTGGCAAGAATGGTGAAACTTCATCTCACATACTTTGGGCATGATGTCAGGAGGCACCAGCCCATGGAAAAAGACATCATGGCCAGAATAGGAGAGGGTCAGTGAAAGAGAGGAAGACCCTCCGGGAGATGGATTGACACAGTGACTGCAACAGTCAGCTTGAACATGGTGGAGATGGCGAGGATGGCACAGGATAAGGCAAGGTTTTGATCTGTTCATAGGGTTCATAATGATATAATCATGCACCTATATAGAAATTTATCAATTTTAAAGGTTAAGGTCAGTACTACAAATAATCCTAGGTAGATGTTTATTCCCACGAAGATGTATTTGAATTTTTTATTGAAATATAATCCAGAAATGTGCACAACTCATAGGTGTTCAGTGAATTTTCAGGTACTGCAGTCCCTAATTTCTCTTTGGAGAAAGGATTTTGAAACTCTGTCTCACATACTTTGAGCAGGTGGCCAGGAGGGACCGTTCCTTGAGAAGGACATCTTTCTGGGAAGAGTGGAGGGACAGTGCAGGAGAGGAAGACCCCAGATAAGATGAATTGATACAGTAACTGGGATAATGGGGTTAGGTGTGTCTAAGAGAGTGAGACTGGTTCAGGATATGGTAGGGTTCAGAGCTATTTTACATAGGGTCACTGAGTTCCAGGTGACTTGATGACACATAACATTAAACGGAAGTTCTTAAGAACAATGTTGCAGAAGGTCCCCAGTACTTTCCAAGTGAATAGCCCCTATAAAAGTAACCATTGTTCAATTTGTATTTGTATTTTAAACAAAGTTAATTTTGTGTTTCTTTGGGCCCCTGCAAGCTGTTGTGGATGAATTCAGGATGGGGAAGAGGGTGGAGCCAACAACAAAAAGTAGACCCTTAGGATAGAAGAAAAAGCCTCCCCAGGTTAAAATTTGGCCTGAATGACTCAGGTACAGGTAACTAAGTTACTTTGAGCTTTGTATGTTTACAAAAGGACAATATTGCCTTATGCATCTTTAAAATGTAAAAATCAGAATGAAAAAAGTATTTAAATGAAAAAATCTTGAAATTAAAAGAGGAAGTGAAGGGGAACCATGAGAAGATTTTTTTCCTAACTAAATGTGTATACAGTAATATTTTAGGTACTGTTTATTAATGAGAGTACTGCTTTAGGTTTGCAAGCAGGTTTGGTTTTCAGCTGTATTTTTAAAGGATCATGAGAAGGACAGAAGAATTGGCAGGTGAAAATTAAGCTAGACTAGAAAACTGGAATCGGCTCTCTCACCCCAGGGTGAGCTCGGGAAGCTGCTGGTGTGTGTATATAAAGCTGTGGCAAGATGTGGAGGAGAGACCTGAGCCACGAGTCTGCCATTCTTTCTTACTCTGCTGGTTGTGTAATTGTAAGCAAGTCACCAAACTTCACTGCCTACCGCCCTTTGTGCAGCAGCTATGTTGTATTATGCCGTGCTGCCTTTGAGCATTGTGGTAAAGATCAAATGTGATAATGTAAATAATTTTGCAGTGTTAAAAGCACTGAACAAATAATTTTATGGAGATATAAAAACTGATTAGTCAGAATATAAAATGCTGATGAGGGGACATTTCCCTTTGCTCTAAATCTTAAATCTTTTAGTGCTTTTGTAATGGAAAATAATTAGTCCATTCATCACAAGAGATACTTTGAACTGACAATAAACATTTCAGTTAGTTTAAGATCATAGCAAATTAATCCATTTCTAATTGACAAATAGGTCTTAACAGGATTTGCTTGGTATGACAAGATTTAGTAGGATGTGACCTGGTAAAATCCCATTTCAGACCTAATCCAAGAAACCTGCAGTGGACAGCAGCCCACGAGGTCCTGAGAAACCTTGGCCTGGAGGAGAACACATGAAAAGAAGGTTTGTTTTTGTAAATTGAAATTTATGAAAGTGTTTAAAAATGAAAGTATAAATCATAATGCACAAAGGATTTTTTTTTTCCGCTTTTCAGAACCCCAGGAGGCTTTGTGTTCTGTGGGAAAAGTATTTCTATACAGTTGCTCCAATGACGGAGTTACCAGCACCCCTGTCCTACTTCCAGAATGCACAGATGTCTGAAGATAACCACCTGAGCAATGCTGTACGTAGCCAGGTAGTGTGTCAGCCTCTGAAACGTCCCCTGACAGACTAAGAGCGCAGGTACCATTTCCTTTCATCTCTGAGAGTCTCAGCGGGTTTTCTTTGCTTCAGCAAATTTCTGTAGCTGTTGAAGTTCACCTGAGGGTAAAGCATTGTGTGCTGGGAACACAAGGTCGTTTAAGACATGGGTATTAATACAGTTCTTCCTTGGCACAGATATTTGTGTTTTTTTTTTTAAAAAAAATAATAGCGTAGGTGTGGGGGTGTCATATGACTTCCATTAGCTTCACAAGGCAGGAGAACTCAGGCAGCAGCAGCTGCTGCTGCCTAAAGCTGATTCCTCTGAGATCACATGTGCCCCTGTCCCTCCATCCAGAATTCATTCTAACACTAATCTTCCCTCCCTTGTTCTTACTATTTCTCTATTTGGTTTGATAATTTTTTATCAAATGAATTGGGTTTGATTGTGATTGCCGCACAGAACTTACACACCATAGTCACTATTATAGGACTTAAGGAAGTAACTGGTTAAAGTTCAGGATCTGTGACGACTCAGGAAACAGTTCTTCAGTTAGATCACCCTCTTTAAACCATGCCAAAAGCCAAGCTTGTCTCTGTTTTTCTGACCCTTGGCCTCTTCCTTGCTTGGACGGGTGTTAGAGAGCTCTTGTAGCTCTACCACGGTGGGCCTTTCTTCATTCTCCACCTTTGCAACTTTGGCTTTTGCCAAGCAAAGGCAACATTTCAAGTAACCTATTCTGCTGGTGCTACAGGCTCGAAGGAGCCCAGCTCTGGCTTTCTTAGTTGGGAAATCTAGCTCCTTTACAGATGTCTGGAAGCACTCATGCCAATAAGCAGGAGCTCAGCTCTGTTGCTTTGTGGACTGAGAATCTTCACCCCAGTCTCCTGCTGCTTCCTCACTGCTTGCTGCTCACCACCACTACCTTGTCTTGTGGTAAATCACTGTCTCAGAGTTTTGAGTGCTTGCACTGTCTGTCTCGTGGAATTTCAGTGAGGGATCTCGAGTCCTGAGGATGTGCTGTAATGCTGGTGTCTTCTTATTTTTTTACCATCTTCTTTTTCTTTCTTGATTGTATTGAGACCCTGGTTCTCTTCCTCTCGGTGACTTATTTATTTATTTTTTTTTTTTGCATGTACCATCAAATCAGATCTGACTGGTACAGGGAGAGATTGTCCCTCCTTTAGCAGAGCATTTGGTGGATTCAAACCATGAACCTCTGGGACTGCAGTGCAGATTCTTGCCACTAGGCCACCAGAGCTCACAATGAGGTGATTTTAAAGCTGAACAGGCTGGAAAAACTGACCCTTCCTACTTCACTGTTCTACACACCTTATTTTCATGGCCCTAATGGATACAGTGTACCTTATTTTAGTAACAAGCTATCCAGTCCCCTTTGTGGGCCACAAACACTTTGAATTTCCATAGTCCTGTCCACTCATGTGTATCCTTGGAGAGGGACATCGTATTTGAAAAGGTGGAGGGTTGGCGAAGAAGAAGAAGACCTTCAGCAAAATGGATTGACACAGTGATGACAGCACTGGTCTCGAGTATGTAGAGATTGTGAGGATGGCACAGGATAGGACAGGGTTCGGATCTCTTGTTCATAGGGTCACTATGAGTATTACTCAACTTGATAGCACCTAACAACAAGGCAGTGGTAGGAGATTAATTCTTTATATACCTTATCCCCTCAGCTGAAGCCTTCTTGAACTTCCTCCTATGTACAGTACCTCATAGTTCCATTCTTTTTTTTTTACAATTGTTAATTTTTTCTTTTCTTGTTCTTTCTGTCTTGTTCTGTCTTGTTAAAATAGATCACCCTTACTTAGATTTTTCTCTTTTCACTTTTTATCCAAGTATAACATATATTTTATTTTATAATTTTAAAATATGTTTTATGTATAACATACATTTTATTTTGTCATTTTAAATGTTCACTGACAGAGTGATTGCACAGTGATGAATGCAAGGCTCTTTGAAGCCCATAGAGAGTTCCGTGGAGAGAGTCAGAGGGTTCTAATTCATAGAGCTAAATCTGGACCTACATCCTTGGGAGCTAATTATTATAGATTGAAACCAGACTCCTTAGATAGCCTGGGAGATGGCTGGAGAATTGGTGAGGTTTTTAGAGGTGGATCTAGAATAGTGGGAGACATAAAGCCAAAAATTTTTGAAGACTGCACTGGGGAGGGTGGACAGACTTCCACTATTGGAACAAAAGAGGCAACACTGGGAAGAGGGTGGAGGTTACCATGAAACTAAATTCTGAATCAGTGAAAACAATTTTGTCATTAAAAGCATTCACAATAGGTTGGAAGACCATTGGCCAGATCAGCTTGAAGTTAGTCCAAGGAATGAAAACTTGAACTAGAGAAATAGAAGACTTGGCAATTCCCTTCATATTCCAGAGATTTAGAATTCCAGTTAATGGTCAAAATGTAGAGGGGATGGAGTGGGAGGAGATTTACAAAGTGACTTTGAAGAAGTAGGGTTAGAATAGCACAAACTGAGGGTGCTGGTCACTATGTGCTGTTTGTGGAGTGGACAACTCCTAAGAACTCTGAACAACTCTTTGGAACCTTGCCCGATCTGCACCATCATTACTAATAGAAAAATTGTGAGTGGAAGAAGAATTGTCTCAAAATACGAATTGACATAGATGGCTGTCCCTTTAGATATGCCAACAAGGGCCAGGTCACACTGAACTACATGACCATTTTTAACACAGGGAAATCAATGTAAAGTGGACATTGAGGGGGAAGGCCACAGACATGCGGCCAGTAAGAAGGTAGTAGTATGTCCCCTGAGAGCATGGGAAGGGAGACAGGAGAGGCTGAGCCACCTTTTGCTGTTTTGCTGTTTTGTTGTTTGTTACTCTATAGTAATAAAGTTCAGCTGATCCTAACTCATGACAACTTGGTAATTGTTGTTGTTAGGTGCTGTCAAGTATGACTCGTAATGACGGTGAACAAAAGGTCTGACCCCTGTTCTATTCTGTGCCAACCTCACACTTCCCGACACACAAGAGCCCATTGCGATAGTCACCGCCTCAGTCCACCTGGTCAAGGACCTTCCTCTCCTTTGCAGACTCTCCACCATGCCCAGCATCATGCTCTTCTCCAAGGAATAGCCCCTCCTAGCAACATACCCGAAGTATGTGAAATGAAGGCTCATCATTCTTGCCTCCAGAGAGCACTCCAGCTTCACCCTCTTTAAGACACACTTGTTTGTTCTTTTGGCTGTTGAAGGATGTTCAGTGCGCTTCTCCAACATCAAAGCTCAAAGACATCAATTCTTCTGTTATTAAGGGGCATTTAAAAACAGATTTTGTAGGAACCTGTTTTAGGTGTCTTGGTGAATTAAAGCATTACCTGTTGGTTTGGAAGCTAAAAAGTTGAGAAATTCAAATCCACCACCCCTCCTCAGAAGTCTGCTCCTATAAAGAAACTTGGAAACTTGATGGAAGGTCACTTGGAGTCAGAATTGACTCCATGACATTCGGTTTGATTTTCATATTTGTTCCCCTGTTAACGCATCTGCTGCTTGATTTTCACCTCTTTGCTGTTAATAAAAGTTAGAATGGAGGGGTAAAGAACGATGAGGGAGGAAAATTTGCAACAATGTATGAATGAAAATCCCAACTTTTCTGTTAAAAATCACGATTCACTAAAATAACAATTAAAAATAAAGCATAATGGATGGGAATGATTGTGTGAGACACAATGTGAATGAAAGGTAGTGTGAAACACAAAGTATATGAACTGTGTAAGTAAGCAAACCAATATAAAATAAAAGTTTTAAAAAAGAAAAGTTAGAATGGAGCCAGATTATGAAGTTCTTTGTATATGGGTATTAAAACTTGAATGTCGCAGGCTTTGTATTAATTTTAAACTGTTTCTTTAAGGAACAATACATCTAGGTCTTTGGATGCCCCCATCCTAACCATGTTGTTGTTGTTGTTATGTGCCATTGAGTTGATTAAGATGCAAAGCAATCATGTAAACAGAAACTCTGAATCTTGCCCTATGCTGGGCCAACCTCATGTCTCTGACACACTTGACACTATTACCACAGTAGCTGTATCAATCTATATCATCCAGGGTCTTCCTCTGCTGTGCTGACCTTCCACTCCCCTATGCATGATGTCCTTCTCCAAGGACTGGTTCCTCCTGTGTCACAATCCTTGCCTCCAAGGAACAACCTCGTTTTGATTCTCCTTCCTAACCATACCAGCTCCCAATTACTTGTTTGTACATTTTCTTTGGATCCCTTTGAATAGAATTCTGAAGCTAAAATCTCGGGAAAATAAACCTCAGATTTTATGTCACTCATCTGCTCCCTACCCCAATTGTCTCTGATCTCATTTTGTTTTTTACCACCTCCTCCTTCCGCACTACTTCCTCAGTTCTGCCTCTGAATCCTTTCTCTTACCACCCCCAGAAGGTTCTTTTTTTTCTCCACTTCATTCCATTCTGGGCTTATGAGTCACCTTATTAGTGAGACTTTCCCTATACAAAACAGATGTCCTCCTCAACTTTCCTCACCATCCTGTACTCTCCCGTGACTGATAATACTTGCCAGCATGCATTGTTGGTGAAGAATATTGAATATACTATGGACTGCCAAAAGAGCAGACACATCTCATAGAGTAAGTGCAGCCAGAATGTTCCTTAGACATGAGAGTAACATGACTTTGTCTCACATACTTTAGACATGTTATCAGGAGAGGACAGTCTTTGCAGAAAGACATCATGCTTGTTAGAGTAGGTCAGTGTAAAGTCCTTTTAAAAAAGTTAAACAGAATCCCTAAGTGATTTATATGCACATAAAAGAAGGAAGAGAAAGTGACTCAGTGGTGATATCAATTGAAGCAGTGACTGCAGCAGTGGGCTCAATCACAGCAGAGCTCAGGAGGCTGACTCAGTGCTGGCCAGCGTTTCACTCTGTGGAGTGAAGGGTCGAGAAGTCAGAACCACCGC